CGTCGCTGCCAGAAGATGGCAGCAGGGAGGTGTTATTATATTTGGGCGAAAATGGCCGCTCCCAGGCAATGAAAATTATTGTTCGCATTTTTTTACTTATTAACGCTAAATTCATTAAATCACTGCAATCTTCAGGGTTCGTACACCTTTTCCAAAGTCAAAATCAAGCACTTTTCAAGCACTTTCAAGATCCTTTTTAAAACTTTTTCCAGCAGCCGCCTCGCCAAGATAGCAATACTAACATTACATTATCACACCGTACTCTCAGTCACTCAGTAACTTAGCCTGTGAATTCCTAGCTAGCAGTTACTAGCATAAACAAAGTGGTGGTTTCATGGGGGCGGAGTCACACATGGAAATGGGCTGGCAGATCGCAGTCACACATAAGCGAGCAGGTTTCATTTTCGGGCTCTGTATTTGTTGCGAAAGAAATAGTTACAATTTCAAGCATTTTCAAGCAGTTCATCCAAAATATAAGCACTTTTCAAACCTTGAAAACACAACGTCAAAATTCAAGCATTTTTAAGGATTTCCAGCACCCGTACGAACCCTGTATCTTATTAATCTTAGGTATAAATAATGATCGATTGATTATTCCTCGCTGACCGGACTTTTCCTTTAAACGAATGAAGTTTTTGTGAAAAACTTTTTTTTCTCAGATTCTGTTATTTTCAAATTTGTCGTTTTTTGTTTTTTTTCTTCTTCTTTAGGCCGAGTCTAATTCAATTCACAGAGGTGGCTAACTGGTTAGCAACATGCTTCAGACAAACCGGCCACAACCAAACGTGCTTGCAAACCTTCCACCACAACAATCCCGCCCCCTTGATAATCGACCAATCACATTCACTTTATTCTATAAATTCAATATATAAAGTCGGGCACCATTCGGTAGAATTCGGAAATGCAACGTTTGGAACAGCCGCTTCCCTTTATGTAACATCAGAGAACGGGGTTCAGGAATCGTTTTGGAAGAAGTAGAAGAAGGTTTTGTGGGCTTTCTGGTGTCTCACCCTGGCACGCTGCTGCTGGCTGTGGTGGCGGAGGAGCTCAGCTCGTTGTCTAACTCGGCCAGCGCGGCGTAGCGGTCCTCTGTGCACTTTGCATTCTGCGACTGAGCTGGAACGGCACTGGACACGGAGGGAATCGGCACACCTCCCCCTGCGAGCAAACATCAATGACCATTAGGACAAAAAGCTGCTAAGTTTCCCCTCATTTCTAACTTGCAGGATGCCTCGGTATGGAGAGAACTCACAAACACAAAACATGAAGGAAAAACAAACAGAAGAAAAGGTTTGGAGCGGGCGGCAGGATAAAGGCCAGAACACACCGAACCCCATTTAGCATCTGATCCGACAGAAAATCTTGTCTTAAAGGTCGTGGCGTTTAGCGCTGATTGAAAGTCAATGCAGAGGATTCCCTGCAGGGGGCAGCGTAGCTCCAACTGAGATAGAGCCCAGGTATATTTTAGTCGGACTACGCAGCAATTCAGCAGCAATTTCATGGGTCTGACAGGAAGAGAGACGCAAAGTGAAACACATCCGCTTTGGAGGAAAATACTAAATAAAATCTGTTGATCTCACGGAGAAAGAGTCGGTTTGGAGTCACACATCGCGTTTATAGTGAGCAGGACAGACTGGAGCAAAAACAATGAATGAAACATTAAAACAGAAAACTTTCCCCATGATGGGAGTTCAGGAAACGGATAAAGTAGTAATCCTCTTTGAGCCTCACAGAAAGCAGTTTATTGCTGCTTTTCTGATCTTTAGACGTAGATCTCATTATGTTTTTAATAGATGAACATTCTGTTCTGGTTTGAGACTCGTTAAGTAGAACTTTGCTTTATAGAATGAACAGATGTTTTATGTATTTATTTTAGACGGTTAATAACTTCCATCTCATCAAGGACAATGGCCTGTGGGTGGCGTTCACGGACAAATTGAACGAGCTCATCGTACACGCAAGTAATGTCTCAAATGTCAGACTGACTTTCATGCGGCTCCAGCCTCCGATGTTTTCCTTCTGCTGAAATGTTTATCTCGTGTTACATGTGCTTTTCTTTTGCTGCGTTTTTTTTTTTTATATATATATCTTAAACTAGGGATGAACGATATAATCGGCCCCCTATCGGTATCGGCCTTAAAACTGAATATCGGACATCGG